GGCAGGTTAGAGTACCTTATCAATACGCTTACAGTCATGTTTCCTGCTTTGTCTATCTGCCACTAAGAATTAAGCAAAAAGTTGATGTCAGAAAGAAGACTAAGTCCACTGAAGAAGAGGAGATTTAATCCCAGTAGGCAGAATCTTGAAAGGGGAAGGAGCGTGAAGAGAAATAGCTGCCTCTTTTAGTCTGGGACAATTTTGAGAAAAATAACAGAAAAAGAGAGTGAAGTAAGGTTTTTTTTTTTTTTTTTTTTTTTTGTGTGTGTGTGTGTGTGTTTTCATGTCTCTATAATAGAATCTGAATAAGAGGGTTGGTGGTGTTTGATAAACATCTAAACAGCTTTTTAGGGTAAATGGCAAGCCTATATCCACTCATCTCAGTGGATAGACTGTGGCCTTTGCAGTGTGAGGCTACAGACCTTCAGAAGAAATGCTTCTGCATGACATCTAATCTGTTACAGGAATCGGAGAGCTAAGGTGGCAGGAGTGGTGGTTTGATTCATGATTGTGATAAAGAGTCCATGCCTTTCAATGCAGGTCCAGAGTACAGGAAACACAGCTGCCACTGTATCTTCATCAGGGTGCTTACTATTCCCAACACTGGTAAGGCTGGAACAGAGAGTCCTGTGATAACTTAGAGAATGAAGACAAAGCCCATGATCTAGGACTACAGGAATGAGTGTCAGCGGAAAGCCAGTGTAGGACAACAGCACCTCACATAAGAAGGGCCTGTGAGAGATTCGACCCAGCAGGGTGTCAAAGCAGAGGCTGAGACTCACAGCCAAACTTTGGGCAGAGTGCAGGAAATCTTATGAAAGAAGGGGGAGATAGCAAGACCTGGAGGGGACAGGAGCTCCACAAGAAGAGCAACAGAACCAAAACATCTGGACACAGGGGTCTTTTCTGAGACTGAAACTCCAACCAAGGACCATGCATGGAGATAACCTAGAACCCCTGCACAGATGTAGCCCATGGCAGTTCAGTGTCCAAGTGGGTTTCCTAGTAATGGGAACAGGGACTGCCTCTGACATAATCGGATTGGCCTGCTCTTTGATCACCGCCCCCTAAGGGATAAGCAGTCTTACCAGGCCACAGAGGAAGACAATGAGGCCAGTCCTGATGAGATCTGATAGGCTAGGGTCAGAGGGAAGGGGAGGAGGACCTCCCCTATCAGTGGACTTTGGGAGGGGCATGGGAGGAGAAGAGGGAGGGAGAGTGGAATTTCGAGGAGGCTACAGCTGGGATACAAAGGGAATACATTGTAACAAATTTAAATTTTTTAAAAATAAATTAATTTAAAAAAGAAGCAGCTCTGACAAGCTGCCTGTCAGAAGGGCTCAGCTAGGGCTCATCTGAATTTGTATGAAACTCAGACATCGCTCTTTAAATGGCAAAGAGGGATATTAACGCATCTCTTTCAGATTAACTAGGTTATGTTAGAGCAGTGAAAGATGAAAAAGAGGGAATATCCTCAAGACTCTGAGTTGGTGCCTAAAAGGGCCACTGAATTATTACAGTAGATTCAGTTTACTGGATTATAGCCAACACACACACACATACACACACACACATACACACACACACACACATACACACACACACATGCACACACACACAGACACACACATGCCTTTTTTGAGATGCAGCTGGTTTGTGTGAAAGAGCAGATAAACTGTAAAAAGCATATTTAGTTGACAGTCTCTTTTAGAAAGTTATTTCTAAGTATAAAAGGATGAGATATGTTATAATCCTGACATGTTGTATATTAAATTAATAAGGAAATAGTGTCCAAAAGGCCAATTAACAAGAAAACTCTTTTATTGATATAAAAGCAAAACAAAATTTTTTGTGTATTTCTAATACCTGTTTTATTCTAGCTATTGAATATACTCAAATTCAAAAGTCAGTTTTTCTGTCAGTGCTGTCACTGTTGTTAACCTCTCTATAGCAGCAATCTTTTGAGACCACAGTCTCAGTGAAATATCCTGCCTCAAGTGGGTCAAATAACTTGAATAATCCATTGTCTCCCAATTAAACCTAAGTACATTTTTATTCTCCACTAAACAGGGTACCAATTGTAACATCAGTTTGGTGGTATTGGTAAGTATTGATGTCAAGCCATAACATCTGCTTCTCAAATGTTACCAAATAAAGGGAAAATTTTTTTTCAGATTTATATTCAGCCCAGTGATGAAATAGTTTCTGGTGTAGATAGGGCTGCCCATTCTTATAGGAGCCAAAACATCTGTGAGCCACACCGCTACTTCCAAACATGAATAAGCGGCTTTTCAGATTCCAGTCCGTACGCTAGATTCCCCTGGGAGTGGACTTCAGAAGCCATATTAAAGTTTTTGGTTCTAATTTAGCCCATAACTTTCAGATAATATCAGCTAGTAATTTTCATATCCATAAAAAAGCACTTACAGCCTATGCCTATGCAATGGAAAAGACATTTTAGTCATTATCTAATCAATTCAATAGTTACAGCTAAGAAGGGTAAAAAAGTCAAATGCTAAGCAATTTTTAAAGCTAAATTGCCCATATTTTCCAAAAAGCTACTTGTCAAACTAAACAAATAATAGTTATTTTTTAATTTTACCTTTAAATATGCAGATATACGTTGTATCTTATACAACATATAAGTCAAAAAATGAAAACGAAAACTCAAAGTGCAATCCACGATTGTGGTCTAGATTGCCCCAAAGCTCTTGTAGATAACTGTTTATTCCATCTAGATAGCTGGACCACATTGATGTGATCATAACTTCATTATCATTGCTACGTTTGAGTCACTAATATAGGAAAGGAAGCTTATCTAATTACCAATTTCCCAAGCCAAGGAAGACTCTCCCCTTCCATTAAATAAAGAGAAAGTCATTCCGATTTGACCCCAGAAAAACAAGTGCATGCATATACCTGACTTCTCAGATCCTCTCTGGATCAGAGAATGGAACAACTATTTGGTTTCAGTCTCATACTTATAATGACAGAAAAGAGAATACAAAAAGTCCATTGTAAATTTGTACAAAATGTATGCATATATAAATACATATCTATGGGTGTATATAAATTCTAAAGATTATATCCATCTACATCTCCAAGAGTCAGAGCCCCATACAGTTAACATATCGACATTCTCTCTCTATTTTTCTCATTTTTAAAACAGTAAGAATCAAGCATGCTACCTTATAATACTGAATAGCAAGTGCAGGAGTTGAGCTGTAGCTATAGAGGGTTGAAGCAATTAGTTTGACGGGACATCAGTAAACAGAATCCTTAGAGTAAATTTAGCTATTTTCATATTGCCTTTTGTCTCATTAAAAATAAAAACTCTCATGTCACATGAGTCAGCTGAGCTCTCTAAGTAGCAATCTAAATAAAGTCTATAGAAATTTGCATTGTCATATGCTTATTGCAGTAATTTGGTGCGGGATCTGGCCTACTAGAATTTCATGTAATACTCATTCTAGCTCACAGAAATCTTGAGTGACACCACCAGCTTCACAGCATATTAAACTCAGCATGAAATATGATTAACAAGCTGCATCATCTTTACGGGACACTATTAAAATATTAAACCCTAGTCAATTGATGAAAAAAGGCGTATACACATATAATAATAGCACATTACAGATGTGTGCTTATGGTGAGAGGTATCAAGACTTTTTAAATACACATAATTAGATTACCTCCTGCTTCCTCTGTTTCTTTTGGGAAAGTGTATAGGACATTGCCCCCTAGGGCGTACAGGCTGCTTCTTAGAAGGGGTTCATTATTGCATGCCTTGAATGCACTGTGATTCATAAGGCAAGAACACAGGAGTCGCTTCAGCACCAAGGAAGTGGAATCAGCATCTAGCACTGCTCAAAACAGAAGATCTTATTGCTTTAACAAAATGGGAAATTATTTACTGGGGGAAAAAAAAGTGCACCAAATAATGGAGGGGGAAAGTAAGACCTATGCACTGAAGTAGAGCTCACTGAAATAATGAAGCTTCCTTCTGGGTTCCTGATTTTATTCAGATTTCACATCCAAAGCCCATTCTGTAAGAAGGTGTTAACAGCTAGAGTTGGAAGAAGGTAAATTAAAGAGATAAATGGACGTTCTCCTTGACAGTGCCTTAGTCGTTCTGCTGTACAGTGTAGAGCTCTGATACACTAACAGGTTTCTTGGTCGCCTGAGGGAGTAAATACGCTCTGTCCTGGTACCAGGAAATGACTAAGGCACTAGAGAGAATCTGGTTCATTATTTAGTATATCACACCCAAAAATTATACCTGCTCTTCCTAATGATAAAACATGGCATGCTTAAAGGATGGTCTTCTGTGCTTCATAAAAGGACTTGGATGATATCTGACTGGTGACTAAATCAACCTTATTAAATTATTTTATAAACATACAGACTGAGCTTGGGAAACTTTATATACAACCAAAAACATTAGCAGCAATAGTTTCTATGGATAATAAGCACATTCAACTTGAAACAAGACAGAGCACTGAGGGCAGCTAGTGGCTTCAGAGCGGGATAGATGTGGGGGTGTCCTGCTGCCTTACACCCAGCCGCAGGGTGGAATGTAGATGGGTTACAAAAGATGTCTCTTCTCTCTCACTCTCTTTCTTCCTTAATATTATTGTCTAAGCATTCAGGGAGTCTAATTAGGCCAGACCTGGGAAGAAGAAAGATCCCCCTTTGCTATATATCAGATGCAGGCACAGAGTTGTAACTAAACAGGAGGCTGTAAACATTTTTCCTATAAGCATTTGCTTGGAAATTTGCATGTCCTGTCATCCAAATTGCCCAACATCTCCACCAGTCTTTCCCCCAAACACATACGGTACAAGCAAGCACACACACCACTGCCTCCAGGTGGCAACCGCATGCAGAGACGCACAGGCCCTGTGTAAATATTAGCCATGTTTTTAATAGATGGCATACCAGCACATCTATCACCCGTTTTCTGTTGTGGTTGTTTCTGTTATTCACAAAAGAAAAAGGGAAACGTGGGTGTCATCATTTTATAGTAGTCTACTACAGAGTAAAATACAAAAGAACACTTCTGGAAACAGCAGAAGCCAGGCCCGCACCACTGACTTCCTCAGCCAGTGGCAACCATTAAATCAACAGCTGGAAAGTCGGAACAGGAATATACAGTTTGGAGGACAAATCACAGAACTATAGTTTTCTTCTGTATTTGGTACCAATATAATAAGTATATAACAAAGGTGCACTTTTTCTAAAAATAAAATATAAACATACTGGTTGGTTAGATACTGCATTTTCAGAACTGCACATTACCTAATACTTCTTTTTTTTTTTTTTACATAAAGGTAACTTATGCAATGTATGATAACAAGAAAAACAACAGTACACACTAATCCAATTGCATAAAAAGAGGAAAGAAACCAATCAAAACCAAGACAATCTCTTTCCAAAACAGCTCCTTCTTTGGTCTGCACAACCAGAGGAAGTTAACCATGAAGGTGAGACATATTCAGCACCAGGCCTGGCTGGACAGCTCCCGATTTCTCCGAGGCTCAAGGAAAAACAAAACAAAACAAAACAAAAAACCCCAAACGGAAACAAAACAAAACAGAGCAGAAAACCCCAAACCAAAAAAAAAAAAAAAAAAAAAAAAACCTCCACAAGTCAAGCAGAGCCTAACAGGGTGCAAAAGCAGATTGTATGGTTTGGGGTTTTTTATTTTTATTATTTTTTTAAATTTTTGTTTGCGCTCGGCCAGCGAGAGAGATATTTCTAAGTAAAATTCAAATTCTGCCAGAGGGAAACTAAAAAGTGAGAGGATGGATGACTGACTAGAGAGGGGTTACATATCCTAAACATTTTTTTTTTTTTCTGGGACATTCTCTGTGGTCTCTGGTGCTTAATGTAGATGTTTCCTTTATAATAAACTATTGCCTGAGCCCAGCTGGAGGTGGAGAAAGGGGAGGGGAGAGAAGCTAAAGGAAAAGTGAAAGCCCGTGGGGGAGGGGCAGAAAGGCGACTAAACCTTCACTTGACAGCTATATACAACGTGACCCGCCGGCCCCCTCCCCTCCCTTTGCTTCGGTGTCAAATGCCTTTTATATATATTTGGTAGCCTGTGCGGTTTCTCCTCCTTACTGGGGGGGAGGAGAGGAAGGGCACGGGGTGGAGAGGGAAGATGCAGCCTTCATTGACAATGAGAAAATATGTGATTTGTCATGCGCTTGGATTGTGTTATTAATAGTATAATAATTACTATAAATATCAATAAAGTATTATCAGCGTTATTTCTTCCTCTGAGACTTTCCTCGCCCAATATTTACAAATACCGCACAGTGCCTCGGCGGAGGAGAAACAGTAAAAGGGTGGGCAGATAAGGAAAGAGGGCAGAGGAAAGAGGGGCCAGAGGAGAACGGAACGGAAGAAAGGAGGAACAAAAGCCAGGATGGTGAAGATGCTGGAAACGAGGAAGGGGTCAGGAGAGGAGCTACACCATCAGGACAGTACCACCGTTTGCAAAAGGCCCTCGCCAGGTGTGTCCAAACTGGAGGAAGCTGCCTGTGCTCCGTGTGGACTGGGGGCCGGCGGCGGAGGCGGGGGCGCACAGGGACCCTGGCACTGGAGACCAGGGGACGAAGAGGAGGAAGAGGTGGTGGCATTGGAGGGGGTGCTGAAGGCGGAGTCCCGGGGCTGTCTCTCCAGCCGGGTCTCTTTTCCATGGGTTGGGGCTTGAACACCTGCCCGGGGCAGCCCCCCACCACCGTGGATGCCGCTGCAATGATCTTTCTCATATTCCTCCTGAGCTCTCTGCATCTTCCGCTTCTTCATCCTACGCTTGTGGATGTGGAAGGTGGAGAGGGACAGCACGATGAGGCAGAAGATGAGGGTGACCAGGACAATCAGCACCAGCGTGGATGAGAAAGACTGGAAGAGCTGCTGTCCCACCTGCGTGATGCAGGTGCCTCCACCTGCGCCTGAGCCACGGACACCTGCGTTGCTGCCTCCGCTGGCGTTGTGGGGAGCAAAGGTCCGGTTCAGGAGACAAGGCGGCAGTGCCAGCCTCAGCTCTTTGGGCGCCCTGGCACTCATCGGCGCTGGGCTGAGAGGGGCCAGGCCCACCAGGCTTCCTCTGTTGGACACACGGTTCCCACCAGCCAAGATGAGGACAAGAGCCCACGCCACCCCAATAGCTCCCTAGCTCTGGAGAGAGCGAGTGCTCCAGCCAAACACTGAGGGAGCAACTGTAGGCAAGCAAGCCGGCCAGAGCTAGCAGCCCCGTTCCTCCTTGATCTCCTCTCCAAGCGCCCAGTTCTCTTTCCCCAGGCACAGTGCTGCAAAGAAAATAGGATTAGTTAGGGTCCTGGTCACTGCCAAGGCAAGTGCAGAGGACGAGAGGGATCTGCCACCACTGCCAAGCGGCCCTCTAATGGGCTCTGTCATCTCCACAACCCACCGACCCAACCCTACCGCTCCTGGAAGCGCAGGAGAGCAGCTGCCAGCTGCTCCGCTGGCTCAGACGGGGTCTGGCTTCCGCACCGCACCGCAGAGACACTGGTTACTCAGCAGAGAAGGCAGCTGCCCTGCCCCCTGCACAACTTTCTAATTGCCACCAACAGCGGCCACCAGGGCTCTCTCTATCTACTTCCCCAAGAGCCAACTCCCTCTTCCCTGTGCCCTGTGGACCTCTTCTCACGATCCACTCCGGCCAGCCCTCCTCCAAGCAGGCTCCCTACGTGCAGTCTTCCTTTCCCATCGCTCCTTCTCCAAACACCTCCACCCTGGACCTTCTGATCCCCAAGGTCCCAGTCCCAGGGGATACATCCCACTGCCTCTGTCCCTGGGCACAACTGACACGCTGGATCTGGTACACAGGATCAGGCTGGACCTTCCTCCAGCCTTCTTCCCTGCTACCTTCATCCCCCCTTCCTCCCCATCAAAAGCAACTGAAACACCCTTCTCAGCGCAGGCACAAACGCCCCCCCCCCCGCCCTCCCCATCTCCCGAGCCTCCCACTTGACAGTCTCTCCTATCCCTTTTCTTTCTCCCAGAGCAGAAACTGGAAGGGGAAGGTTCCCGCCTACAAAGTTTGGGGAACCGACCTTGTCCCTAGCCTTCCCCGGGCCCTGGCCCCAGGGCCCAGAGGCAGTGGTAGAGGACCAAGCTGGGCGGACTCTGAGCAGGCAGCACATCTCCCTTGCCTCTCCCAAAAGGCAGGGGCAAACTGTTGCACTGCGGAGCAGCAAAGCAAAGCACTAGCCTCGGCTGGGGCAGTGGCAGGGGCTGGGGCGGGGGCCGAAGCCCTGACCAGCGATGTCTGCGCAGGCCGCGGGAGTGGTCCTACCCACTCCCATCCTGCCGCTGGGACCCCTGGCCACGGAAGCCTTCAGTCGGACTGCCCTCTCTTACCTGGAACAGCCAGCCCGGTCGCAGAGAAGGAGCCCCTGCCTCGGCTGCAGTGGCGGCTGCAGAAGGCGCGGAGCGCAGGGACCAGAGACAGAGCCGCGCTGCCGCCGCCGCCGCCGCCGCCGCCGCCGCCGCTGCCTTCGCTGCTGCCGCTGCCGCTGCTGCTACAGGGAGCTCAGCTCTTAGCCTATTGCCAGAGAGGCCGGTGACGTCAGGCAGCCACCGCCAGGGCTCCAAGCCACCCCTCAGGCCCCCACCCACCCTCATACCCAACACCTTGTCCTGGTATAACAGCCTCACCAACACCATTCCCAGTTTCCCGCTGTTCCCCAGCTTTGGGGCTGGGAGGAGCAAACCCCCCCCACCCCCCCGCCTCCGCCCGGCCAGCAACCCACCGTCAGCCTTAGCATTCCTTTGCCTAGGAAGACGCAGGCTTCAGTTCTTCCATCGCTCTGTGCTTTATCCTCCACTTGTCTCCAGGTACACAGTTTTGCTCTCGGGGGACCTGCTTCCCTGGGAGTGTACTTTTTTCCTGTTGACTGATCAACCTGCTACCCCCAAATCCCGTTTTGCTGCCTCCGGTTCTAAGCACGAACTGCTTGCACGAGGGAGATGGCAAGGACATTTGTCAACACAACCGTGGCAGAATCAGAAACAGGAACCTGAATATGCATCAAAGGCTGCATCGTCTGCGCCGGGCACCAGGGCATGCCATCCCGTCTGCCTGCTCTTCGGGCCGTTCAGCGTGTTCACCACCCTTTCTCTTTTGAGGATCTCACCTCACGAACACACAGAGCGCACAAGGGCTTATAGGGCAGGAAGGGAATATTACAGAGAGGAGTGCAGAAACCAATGACCTGTAAAAAAATCTCTGCATTCTTTGTGCTGCCCGAAAAGTGCTCGTTCGGTGACTCAAATCTTTGTCAAAAGGCTTGATGCACTAGCCTTTCAACTTAAATGGATGCATAGGAGAGCCTAAAAAGGCTCTCAGCAGCTTGCAAACGTCTAGTTAGAGACCAGTGAAGGACTAGTTTGCAATCCCTGCAGAAATAGGAACAGTGCATTCTATTGTAGTAGCCATCTTCAAAATAGAACACGCTTTTTTTTCTTTTTTTAAGTGAGAACTGAAAATGCTGGTTTGGAACAATACCTACAGACCATACAGTCTTTAGGGGCACTCAGATAACTTACTAAAGGTGTGTTTCTTTCCTCTCTCCCATCTTGTTTACTTCCAGTCTTTCAGTCTAGCAAAGTGTGCGATATCTCCGCGTTGAATTGGACAGTGAAATGCGTGCTCCTGCCTCTTTGTACTGCGCACCAAGAAGGGAAGCTGTCGGGAGTCCTAGATGCCACTTACTGGCTTGTGTCGGCTGTAGTTGGGAGGTGGAGTCTAATAAAAAAGAAAAGAGATTTCTCCTTCTGACCCCATGCTCCTAACTAGTCCCACTCACTTTCCTCTTTCTGCTCATGCAACAAATGAATGACACATCCCTCCACCCCAACTTTGTTTTCATTCATTCCAGCACAAGTTATCTGGGGCCTGGGGAGCAGCACAGCATTAAAGCACTTGAGGAAATGTGCAAAAGCCCCCGGGTTCTATCCACAGCACGATGAAGAAGCGAAGGAAAGAATCTGCCTTATATTCATAGCTGTGTCAATGAGAAAAGGTATTTCCAAGTTAACAGCTCAGTGCTTGCTGCATCGAGCACTGTTGCTTCAGACCGCAAAGACGCACAGTTAATGAGGGCCAGCGACTTAGATGCTTGCATAAGCTTCCCTTCCCAGAAGGAGGGGACCTCACGCCTCCTAAAGCCACCTGCCACCTTTAGTGATTCTGGCTTCAGTAGGCTTGGAGGACGGTGAGCCTTTGCTGGCTTCACTGTGTCAGCTGCCTCAAAATAAATAAAATAAAATAAAATAAATAACACATGTGCCAGAAGGGTCAAGGGCACCACAAGAAAACCCACAGAATCAACTAACCTGGGCCCACAGAGGCCCACCGAGACAGAACTACCAACTAAGGAGCATACATGGTATGGACCTCGGCCCTCTGCACATACATAAGAGATGTGTGACCCGGGCCTCATGTGGGAATCCTGACAGAGGGAACATGGGCCTTTTCTGACTCTGTTACCTGCCTTTTTTAGCCTCAATATAAGATGTGCCTAGACTCATTGCAACTTAATATGCCAAGGTTGGTTGATACCCATGGGGGCAACTCCTCTTTTTTTGAAGAAAAGGGGGGAGGAGTATATAGGGAGGGAGTGGGGAAAGTACTGGGAGGAGAAGAGGGAGGGGGAACTGTGGTTGGGATGTAAAGTAATTAAAAACATAAACACACATATCTAAAATATTTGAGTATAAACTATATAAAAGGACACTTGTGTTCAGAATGATTTTTAAACTATGTGTAAGAGTGTTTTGTCTGTATGCATGTTTGTGCACCATCTGAGTCCCTGGTGCCTAGGAGGTCAGAAGAGAGGGCATTGGATTCCCTGGAACTAGAGCTACAGTTATGAAAATGTTTGTAAGCTGCCATGCGGGTGCTGGAAATTGAACCCAAGTTCTCTGGAAGAGCAGTCAGTGCTCTTAACCTCTGAGCCATCCCTTAACCCCCCCACCCACCCAGAATGGTTTTTAACATCCCTCATCCTTCTCTGTATGACTTCTTTATCTCCCCTGCCTCTGTGCACATGCATATCCCTATTTCTACTTTTGCATTACCCATGTTTCTAACCAATCTTCATTGAGCTAAAAAGAAAACACTCCAGAAGACAGGAGGTGTGTTTGAAACAGAAGACAAGACCTAGAAAATCCTTTTTGTTTGGATCCCCCTCCTTTCTCCAGCAGTCCACAGACATCTACAATCTTCCTTGGACTAGGAGTCTATTCCAGCAGCCACTGTACTATATTAGGTCACTTAGACAGGTTGTTATGGACGCCATATGCATGACAAAAGCCTCCTTGATGTTCACTGAAGTTACCAGAGAATGTGCAGATGATTCTGACATTTTTGTCTATTCTTATTTCTTCTGCTCTCCTTCTAAACACCTACAGAGAAATGTCTATATGGTCTCATGTTACCGTTGAATCAACTACTCATCCAGCCAGTAATAAATTAACCAATTGCTAAACAAGACACAGAGTGAAATTCTTTATTTTGTCTGGTCAATCTAGCTCTTTCCCAATCCAATTTTCCATTCTGTAAACAGAGAATAGGAATGATGATAATAGTATCTTCTTTGTAGGACTATTTTAAGTACCAAACAAACAGCAAACATTTGAAAAACAATAGCTTTTTATGTTATAAAGAAAAATTATGAACACTGGTGTTTTATCCTAGGCAACAGAAATGTTATGTTTTAGATAACAAAATTCAGGAGAGATTTATCTTGAGTTTTAGTATTCCTTATGTAAAGATGACTAGAAAGGCGAAAGGACTAAAAATAACAATAGAGAGCACACAGACATGGGGCTGCTGTGTGACCCCCTAGAGATGCAATGCGGGGGTTGCACCAGAGCATCTTCCCAGGGGTGGGGATCAAGGTTCCAAACGACAGTGAAATGGACCTATGGTAGGAGGCATCTTATCATTCATATTATGTACACTTCTTTAAGCACAAAGTAGGTGATCACCTAGCAGTCTTCAAAGTGGAGGAAATATATCTTTAAGAGTAGATTTTTTAAATACCCAGGAGAGTACAATGTGTATATAGTTTGAAGAACAGCACATACGTAAACACAATAAAGGCAACATACAGCAATCCAATAGTCAATGTCAAGTTAAACGGAGAAAAACTTAAAGTGATCCTACTAAAATCAGGGACAAGTCAAGGATGCCCACTCTCACCATATCTCTTCAATATAGTACTTGAAGTTCTAGCTAAAGCAAAAAGACAAGTAAAAGAGATGAAGGGAATACAAACTGAAAGGGAAAAGTCAAAGTATCACTATTCACAGATGATATGATAGTATATATAAGTGATACTCAAGATTCTACCAGTGAAATCCTACAGCTGATAAACATCTTCAGCAAAGCAAATAAAAAAATAACTAAAAAAAAATCAGTAGCCCTCCTTTATAAAAGCAATAAAAAGGGCTGAGAAAGAAAATAAGGAAACAACAATCTAAACAATAGCCACAAATAATATAAAATATCTTGGTGTAACTCTAACCAAGCAAGTGAAAGATCTGTATGACAAGAGCTTTACGTTTTTGAAGAAAGACATTGAAGGTTTTAGAAGATGGAAAGATCTCCCATGCTCCTGGATAGATAGAATTAACATAGTAAAAATGGCCAGCCTACCAAAAGCCATCTACAAATCCAATGCAGTTCCCATGAAAATTCTAACACAATTCTTTACAGACCTGAAAAGACCCAGAGTAACAAAACCAATTGTATACAATAGAAGAACTTCTGGTGGTATTGACATCCTTGAT